CATGGGGAAAACAGTTTCCTCAAAAAATTAAAGATAGAGGGGCCCCTGGGTGGCTCAGTTGTTAAGCATCTGCCTTTGGCTTGGGTCATGATCCCAGGGTCCTGAGATTGAGCCCTGCATTGGGCTCCCTGCTCTGTGGGGGGCCTGCTTCTCCCTCTGCCACTCCCCCTGCTTGTGCTCCCTCTCTCGCTGTGTCTCTCTCTGTCAAATAAATAAATAAAATCTTTAAAAAAAAATTAAAGATAGAAACACCATATGAGCCAACAATTCCATTTCTGGGTTTTTATCCAAAGAAAACAAAAACACTAATTCAAAAAGATGTATGTGTCCCTGTTTACTGCAGCATTATTTACGGTAGCCATGATAAGGAAGCAATCTAATGTTCATCAATAGATAAATGGATAAAGAAGATATAGTATATATATATACAATAGACTATTATTCAGCCATAAACAAGAGTGAAGTCTTGCCATTTGTGACAACACGGATGGACCTAGAGAATATTATGCTAAGTAAAATAAGACAGAGAAAGACAATTGCCATATAATTTCACTTACATGTGGAATATTAAAAAACAAACAAACAAACAAAATAGAAACAGACTAATAAATACAGAGTACAAATTGGTGGTTGCCAGAGGGGAGGGGTTGGGGGGATGAGCAAAATAAATGAAGAGGATTAAGAGGTACAAACTTCCAGCACAAAATAAATAACTGGGATGTAAAGTACAGCATAGGGATATAGCCAATAATATAATATTATAATAACTATGTATGATAACAGATGGTAACTAGATTTGTCATGTGGATCATTTCATAATGTATATAAATATCTAATCACTACGTTGGGATACCTGAAACTAATATAATATTGTATATCAACTATACCTTAATTTTAAAAATACTATAAAAAAATCAAAGAATATTTTTGGGGGTGAGGGGCAGAGGAAGAGGGAGAAAGAGAATCTTATGCAGGCTCCACACCCAGTGCAGAGCCCGATGCGGGGCTTGATCTCACAACCCCGAGATCAGGGCCGAAGCTGAAATCAAAAGTCAGACACTCAACTGACTGAGCCACCTAGGTGCCCCAAAACAAAAGAATATTGATATCTTGTCCAAATACAAACTATACTTTGCTCATCTATGTTCATATTCAAGCATAGATGTAAATATAAAGTTTGACATATTCTATTCAGTCTATAAACTTTGTACCAAAGAAAATGAAAAGATCTTACCTGCTAAGTGTACATACATCTTATACACAATACTGCTAAAAAAAAAAAAAAAAGGAATGTGATTTCTTACCTGGGCTATTGAAGCTTTCAGAATGAAGTTTTGTTCACTTTTAAGTTTTCTCAAAATGTGTAAAAGCACCTAGTGAGATTTTTTACTGTACTGAAATGGAAGGAATAATCTCCATAAAACATGTGCCTTACAGGATGGCTATCATTGTTACTGCGCATAGAAGAGGTGTTAAAATGTTGGCCTGCTGTAAACTTGCTTTCAAAATGCGGGACAAGGAAAATGTCCTTTAATTTGTAAATACACTGAGGATGAGAATGGTGAAAGGATTACAGTTAAACAGAGATGTATATGCTGTCTCTCCAAAACCGCTTGATGATCTTTGAACAGGCCATATGGAGGCTAGAAAAGGATTAACTGACCGTGCCCAAGTTCCCTGATGTTATGTGTAGGCTACAACAAAAACTCATACAGAAACTCATACAGTTTTTGGAAATAAGACTACTTCAGAACAACAACAAAAACTCACCAGAAAGGCACCCAAGTTAAACAGGACTCTCGTTTCTTTACTAAAATTTTAACTTATTTGGAATCCAACTTCAATTTTACAAGTTGAAACTACCTCTGCGCTTTAAAGCCTTTTTCCCTCAGGGGAAAAAAAGGTTTAATTTATGATGACATCTAACATGCTTTGGAATGTTAAAAAATGATGAACATTTTAGTCATGGATGGCCTAGATGCAAAGGGCCTAACTGATTGACAAATAGGTGGTCTACCAAGACAAGCCTCTAGTGAATAGACATTTCTGGAGAACTGAAAACTAACTCCTACAAACCTGCTATTCCTAGTAAGTAATACTTAGGAATATTACATCCTCAAACATTTTTTTTGAAAGGACATTTAGGTTGATGTCACCACACTGGACTGACACCAAGAATCAGTCTAATGTGGGCTTGATAAGACCAGAGATGCATATCAAAGTGAATATTATGTTAGACTATATTCAGTTTTACCACTACATAAAAGAAAACAAGGATGTCCTAATGGCTGCAGGCAGTTCAGAGAAATATTATTGGAAAAGAAACAGAAAGAGTAAAAATATCCTACTGTACCATAGAGCCAAAAGAAACATTTCACTGTTATTTTTTACTAAATATGGGCAACAGATATGTCTAACTTGTCATACATATTGTATTTACATTCTCCTATTTAAAAGTCTTACATTTATAAAAAAAGAAGAAGAAGAAGAAGATAGCAGGAGGGGAAGAATGAAGGGGAGTAAGTCAGAGGGGGAGACGAACCATTAGAGACGATGGACTCTGAAAAACAAACTGAGGGTTCTAGAGGGGAGGGGGGAGGGGGGATGGGTTAGCCTGGTGATGGGTATTAAAGAGGGCACATTCTGTGTGGAGCACTGGGTGTTATGCACAAACAATGAATCATGGAACACTGCATCAAAAACTAATGATGTAAGGTAGGGAACATAACAATAAAAAAAATTATTAAAAGTCTTACATTTATGTATATTAAGAATATACACTACAACCTATAAAATTTAAATATTCAAGAATTAAAATAAATTGCTGTAACAGGGGACAGAAATATGAGAAACACTGTCATATTTTCTCACACAAAGTATTTACTCAGTCCTACTATTAATACTAATTAACTGTTAACTAGTCCTATTGTTTTGTTTAAATAATAGCATGTAACAGAAAAGTAATACAGGAAAACAATTTTAAATAAACATCTACTTTCATATTTTTATATTAAAGTAATAACACTTTTGCACAATTATTTATTATGTATTAAAAGTCTTTTCATCTAGTATAGCTGTGTCCTGTGTTGGCGCTCTAAAGGTTGGTCACCCCAACGGTATAGTACCATTTGGATGGGGGAACAAAATATAAAAAAGGTAATATTTGTAAATTACATAGACAAGAAACTGGTAAACTGTGGTGCCTTCTGTGAAAGATAAATTAGTAGGTGGAATAAGCCAGAGAGGGTTTCTTTTTATTTTTTAAATGTATTTTTAGAACTTTGTACCTTGTGCATGTACTACCTAGTCCAAAGGGAGAAAATCATTATGAGTCTCACACAGTGATTGCTCAGAGTGAGCTGAGAAAGGTGCTTGCGTTTCCCACTGGAAACGTGTGAAGAACACGTGGTTCTTCCGGGACATGCTGAAAATTCAAGATGGCTGCCTGGTGGATGACTGATTCAGATGAGCCTGATGAGGTAAGCTGGTGCCCAAAACTGAAGGGTCTGCTAACCCCCACAAATCAGTATGAATTTGTTTTGTGAAGGAAGCCATTAGAGGGATTGCTCAGAGTGAGCTGAGAAAGGTGCTTACGTTTCCCACTGGAAACGTGTTAAGAACACGTGGTTCTTCGGGGACATGCTCAAAATTCAAGATGGCTGCGTGGTGGATGACTGATTCAGATGAGCCTGATGAGGTAAGCTGGTGCCCAAAACTGAAGGGCCTGCTAACCCCCACAAATCAGTATGAATTTGTTTTGTGAAGGAAGCCATTAGAGGGTTTTAAAGAAAGGAATATAATTATGTGATTTATGACTAAGAGATCCCTTTGGTTGTGTGAAGAATGTGGGGTAGACCTGTTGCGAGGACCTATTTCTGTAGTCTTGGTGAGTATGGATGTTTGGGTTTGGACTGTTCACGTGGTAGCACTGAATAAGGATGTGGAGGCACATTTAGACATGGTGCGACTTTGGGAAGTGGCCCTGATAAGACCTGCTATAGACTGTAGATTGTGGGGAGAGGGGTGCATAACATGGATAACTGCTGTTTCTGGGCTGGGTAGCTCAGAGTGCCTCTTTCTGGGATGGAGAACACTAGGGCATTGGTGGATTGTGGAGGAATAAGAAAGAGTTCTCTTTGGGACACTTTAAGCCAGAGATGGTTAACTGATCCATGTTTTTTTTGAAAGTCACTCAGGTTATTGCGTGGAAACTGGGGAGGGGCGGGCAGCTGTGAGGCAAAGTGACAGCCCTGGGTGGGCCTCAGCAGGGACAGAGAGGAAACTACTCAGGGACAAGGCTGGAGGGGCTCCAGCAGAGAATCTTGCAGGCCCGCAAAGGCTTTAAGCTTTTCATCAGTAGGAAATGGGCGACAATGACAGGGCTTTGAGCATGATGAGAGTTGACCAAAGGCCTGCTGTGTGGAGAGCAGGCTATAGGGTAGAGTTGCCAGATTTAGCAAATAAAAATACAGAATGCCAAGTTAAATTTAAATGTGAGATCAACCACAAATAATTTCGTAGACAAGTATAGTCCATGTAGTATTGGGGATATACTTTAGCTAAAAATGTATTCGTCGTTGATCTGACAAATTTAACTGTTATTTATCCAGGCAACCCTATCACAGGAGCAGGGGGAGGGAGCCCCTGCGGGCATTGCAGGGAAATGGAAGGGGCCAGAGTAGCAGCAGGGAAAGTGTGAAGAGGGGTCCCAGAAAAGACAAGGGTGACCCATTTGGTACATTTTACCGGAGAACAGCTCTATGAAGACGAGCTTCTTGGCTCTTCCAAGTGTTGGCCGAGGGTTCCTCAGGGAAGACTTACCCGTCTCTTCCAAACCTCCCGAGCCCGCGGCTGGCTCCACTGCTAGCCCTGCTGCCCTCCGACTCCACGGCGTTGAGCAGTAGCTGAAAAGCAGCAGCCCGCGGGGCCGCGCTCTAACCCCGCCTTCCGCACCCCGCAGGGGTGGAGCCTGAGCGAGGAGCCTGCTAGCAGCCCTCTCTCCCCGGATGACGAGCGGCAGGATAACATGGAGTCCGGCAAGATGGCGCCTCCCAAGAACGCTCCGAGAGATGCCTTGGTAAGTGCGAAGGATGAGAGGCGGGGCATGAAGCTCGGCGCGGCTGGCGTCTTGGGAGGCAGGTCCTGGCGGAGGGCCTCCGGACGGGCTCGCGTACCCGCTTCAGCCCAATCGGGGCGGCTTAGAAGGAGTGGGATACGGGGGTGCCCTGGACCCCGGGGCGTTTCTCCCGCAACCCTGGCAGCCCCACTAGGGGGAGGCTTGCGGCCCGCCAGAGTGCGCAGTCCAGCCACCCGGCTTTGTCTCCTGGGCCTTGGGCCCCAGACGCTTTGTCGTCTCGCCAGGTCTGTGAGCCCTGACTCTCGCGTCCAGAGTACTGATGCTAGCTTCCCCCATCGCCACATCCGAAAATGACAACCAGCTGTAGCCTCCCCTAGCTTTCCCGATGGGAAAGCCAACCCGGGCCTTTTTCTTCTCTTTGCCCCCGCCCCCGCCAAAAAATAAAAAGTTTTCAGGAGAGATTACGACGGCTTTGGTGTGATCCCGACACTCACTTGAGAGGAAAAGTGTATGAGTACAAGTCTGGGGCCCAGAGAAGGGGGACCTTTTATCATAAATATAAATACTACCTTTGGTCCAGTCTTGATTTCCAGTACCTAGATTATGCATCTGGCGTTTTTATTCGAATCCACAGGTGATGGCACAAATCCTGAAGGATATGGGAATTACGGAGTATGAACCAAGGGTTATAAATCAAATGTTGGAATTTGCTTTCCGTAAGTTAACAAAACACCAAAAACTTGCCTAACTTGTGAATTTGAAAACATTGTTTTATTGTAAGAACATTTTCAACTAAACTGCTTGAACAGTTACTATCATAGAATTCAGCCTAAAGCAGTAAAAAGGGAGCTCAAGCTAAGGGGACAGTAGTATTTATACTGTGGTATCTGTTTAAAATTGGCCATCCAAGTAGGACAATCATAGAACCAAAATTCATAAACTTTCTAGAAGTTAGTAGAACCTCCCATTAAGAAAAGTGACCATAAATATTAAGCTGTTTTCATGTTTAATAATGTTTTGTTCTTAAAGGATATGTGACTACAATTCTGGATGATGCAAAAATTTATTCAAGCCATGCTAAGAAACCTAATGTTGATGCAGATGATGTGAGACTGGCAATCCAGTGTCGCGCTGATCAGTCTTTTACTTCTCCTCCTCCGAGAGATGTGAGCAAACTTATCTGAAGTTCATTTTACATAAAATTTTCTTAGATTGTAGTTCTAATAAGGATTTTTTTTTTTTTAGTTTTTACTGGATATTGCAAGGCAGAAAAATCAAACCCCTTTACCACTGATTAAGCCATACGCAGGACCCAGACTGCCACCTGACAGATACTGCTTAACAGCTCCAAACTATAGGCTGAAGTCCTTAATTAAAAAGGTAAGAATCTGTGGTCAGCTTAGTTTTTTAAAAAGGTGAGATGTGTTAGGGGAAATTTGTAAAAAGCAGATTCCTGTAGATAGATTAGTAGGTTAAAGACTAAGATAATTTACTAGGATTTTTTAAATTTATAGCCTTGAAAATACCATCTCTGCAATTAGCTACTATGTTAAAATACAAAATATAAGATCCAAGATTTTTAGAACAAAAAGGAACTTTAGTGTTCATCTAACTCAACAATTAATTTTCACATCAAGGAACTGATCCTCAATTCATCTATGGAATTGTAGCAAAGCTGGGACTGATTCCCAGGTCTCATAACTCCCAGTATTTACATTTTATCATTTTTTTGTGGCACCTTAAAACAGAGTAAATGGTATACCATCAGGATTTGGACTCACTTTCTGAAATATGACCTAAGGCTCCCCCACCACTGAAAAAGTTCTCCCCACATTCAGCTAGCTGCCTTTGTTGTCTGAAATTCTGCTGTAAGAGTATCTTTTTTAGGTTAAGATATTGACTAGTAAAGATTGAAAATCATGAAGATGTTAGCTGTTATCCCCAAATAAGACTCTACCCTAAACTTAAATACTATATACAATTTTATATTATGTGTACTCATATCCTTTATATAGATGTATGTTTTGTTTATACTATATATGCTTGTGAAGACCCTAGTTTAAATGTTGGATTTAGAACACTAATGGAACAGAAACAGGACATTCTTGCCATGGGTTACCATTAATAATTCATTCCTGGTAAGTGTAAGGGTCAGATCTGAACAATATTAAAATTAATAAGTTTTTTAAATCCCCTAGGGACCTAACCAGGGAAGACTAGTACCACGGTTAAGTGTTGGTGCTGTTAGTAGCAGACCTTCCACTCCTACTGTAGGTAAGTGAGAGAATGAAATGACTTTTCTGTCTGGTAAAAAAGTGCCTTGGCACTTCATTTTGAACTATAATCCAAGTCAAAAGCTGAGTCAGAAATTCCCAAATGTGTTGCCATTGATAACATTTGCTCGTCCTCTAGTAAAACTATAAACATGTATTTTATCAGATTTCAAAATGAGAAAGCCACAAGGAGTATCTTATCCCGAATGAGTATAGAATGGGATGTTACCCAGCATTGTTGTTGGTATAAACTAGGCACCAAAAAGTTTAAGCTGTGTTCTTTCTGCCTTCTATACAAATCAAGCTGCCAAACACTCATGGCAGTAGCCTGCTTATTATCGGAAATAAATTTCTGGGTAAACTGGCAAGAGAATGCAACCAAAAGAAGTTTAAAATGTACAAAAAGTTGCAAAAAATAGAATAAAATAAAATGTACAAAAAGCTTAAGTTTATCAAAGAAAAAAAATCATTGTTTTTAATACTAATCTTTTCAAGAATAGTAGTATTGATTATCAACTATATTGCCCCTTCAGGCTGTCTCCTGTGCCCTTTGTGACAGGGCTTCGTCATTCTTTGAGCATTTCTTGCTTTCTGGTACAAGATGTTCTAAGCTCATCTTAATTTTCCTTACCCCAGTCCTACAACCAGCCACTTCTCCAAAGAGCCGTGGTTCCTTTGCATGGAGAATGGTATTTAGAAACCGTTATGTTTTTTTAATTTTATTGTTTAGGTGATAAAACGCAAATGGATTTAGATTTCCTGGTTTTTTGGTCCTACATTCCTGCTGGATTTCTCATAAAGTATTTTCAGACATAACCCTTCTCTTTGACCTGTACTGATTTTTTTTTTAGCTCTTAGGTTTATAACTTGAGTCCTACAGATGTCATATAGCTCTAATGTAAGCAGCATTTGATTTTTGCAGTGTGTAGATAATCTCTTCATATTCTCATTTCAACATTTCAAGACCAACCTGGTATAATATTAATTGTACACTTCTAATTTACCTGCACGTGACCTTTGTGGACAGAAATTTGCCTACGTAATTTGTCTAACTTTTTGGTCATATACTGTTTATCTGTGGATTCATTACTTCAGTGAATACCAGTTTTTTAAAAAACTCTAGGCTGTCGTAATCTGTTACACATGTTGTCAAGTTAACCAATTTTAGTTATCAGTTGTGATTTTTATCCCTGTTAGACACTTATTATACATGTTTTAGAGATTTTTAATCTAGAATGAGGGAGCTGCTGAACTCTAGTATTAAAGATAGTTTTAAACTTTAAAAAAAACATGTATTTTATAAAGCATTCAAGATCTGAGTTATCTACCATGTTCAATTTTAAAGCTGAAACTCCATACTTACTTAAATGTTAGCAAATCCTTATGGTAATGGCCAAGAAAACATCTACCTATTGTGAATTTCGACAAAATACCTAATACTGTTTCATTAAGCTTCACCAAATTCTTTGAACCGACCCTTAATACATCAGAAAACTTGCCTAGGAATGAAGATTAGAGTAAGGCCTCACCTCCTGAGTTGGGGAGAGAAAGCACTAAAACCAAATTCCTGGGTACCTTTGAGCTTTCTTCCCCCATTCAGGCTTTCTTCCTTTTTGTCCCTAGGGAGGATAGTTGTAGTTTTTTCAGCAACTCTTCCCTGGGCACACTGCTGGTTCCGGGGGAAGGGATATATGGAAAGCCTGCACCCCCAAAGGAAAAACTAGGAACAGACGTGTTTCCATAAATTTTTTGAGAGCTATAGCTATAATGTCAGTATGTGTCTTTTTGAGTCTTGCAAAATTCATACATTAAGCAAAAATTTGTGGAGTGCCCATTAGGAGTAAGGCACAAAAACCATATGCTCGTTAAGGATAAAAAAGTCTCAGCCAAGGCTTGTAATTTAGTGAACGAGATAAGACACTAATAAAGGCTCTCATACTATGGCAAGGGAATTTCAGAGGCAGGCAATGACTTCTGAGCAAATCAAGTTTTATAAAATGGGGTGGTATTTGAGTTGTACCTGGAATAATGGTCAGAATTAAGATGGGGTTTAGACTAAATTATCTACAACATCCCTTTCTGAAAAAGTACCTGGGTATAGAATAGGAATATGACTTTTGCACCCACCTGGGCACCCTAAGAGGGTCTATTTGATAGGCTTTTGTTAGATGCATGTTGACTTAGCTTCACGAGCCTAGTAGACATTTTCTAATTCTCAGTAAGTGACGGAGATTGAAAATGCCACCCAACATAAGGAATAGCAAACTTGGGTCTTTATTCTGCTAGCTCATTTAGACACTCAATTTCACAACTTCATGTAGCTAAAATTCAGAGTCAGATGCTATTTGAAGAGCTTTACAGAGATTATTTTAATTTTCACAAGAATCCCATGTAGTAGGTACTGTTGTCCCATTTGACAGGTGAGAAAACTGAAGTACTAAAAGATTAAATTTAAACTTGCCCAAGGACTTTCAGCTAGTACATGATAAAGCCCAGATTCAAACTCAAGTAGGTAGGCTCCAGAGCCTACGTTCTTTACCACTGTACTATGCTGAATTTTTAGCATCTGAACTATTGAGCTTGTACTTTGCTTATTTCTGATTTTTTTCCTCACCTTTCATTAGTTCCCTGTGCTTTGAAGGTAGTTTCTGTTAAGCTAAGGAGTGCAGAATATGAACCCATATGAAGTCCTGTAACTAACATGGTCTGTTAATTACAACCACAGCAGCCCCGCAAACGTCTGTCCCAAATAAAGTTGCACCTCCAGTATCAGTGACAAGCCAAAGATTTACAGTGCAGATTCCACCTTCTCAGTCCACACCTGTCAAATCAGGTAACATGATGGGCAGGGGTGGGGGGGGCTTCAAGTGGTTCTTTTAGTTTTTTTGAATTTTAAAGTTTGTGAATAATTTGTGATTATAGAACAGTTTGTATTCCTATAGCAAGAGTTGTTTTAATATCATACCAGGAAGGTGGCAGTAATGCTGCAAATCAGGGTTCTTCAGAAGGGTCTATGAGCCCACTAAAATTGTGTGAGATTTTACATATATGGAATGTTTTGGGAGGGAGAGTATTCAGTATGACCAGCAGATTCTCAAACAACACTGAATTAAAAGAAGCTGGGGTGCACAAATCTAAGGCATCTTCAGGGAAAAGCAAGGGGTAAAGCTCAAGGAAATAATGTAACTTGTACATCAAATAATTATACCTTCACTCACTTCATGGAAGGGTACATATAAAGTTGGGATATGTAAGTAGAATTCTGTTACAGCATAGTTTATTACTGCATGTATTTCAATTTTACATCTTCTGACATCTAACTGTACACAGTAAACTACTTATATAAGGGAAATGTGATTCCTGACCCTGAACAGGTGCCTTTAGTATGTTCCATGATGAGTCCAGTGCACTGCTTCCCATGGCTAGGTACTACCTAAAATTTTAGGTGGTTAAGTTAAAACAAAACAAAAAAACAGAATTTTAATGTTGTACTAGATACTAGCTTAAGTACTTTAAAGTACTAAAAAATTTTATTCAACTCTTAATGTAGCATGAATACCAAAGTTTGTTCTATGATGTAGTTGCAATTCATGCTATTAAATTATGAGAATTTTATTTAGCCTTGTTGAATATTGGGTAATTCAGTTTGAGGGTGTTTTCTCCTCTTTACAGTTCCTGCAACAACTGCAGTTCAAAATGTTCTGATTAATCCTTCAATAATTGGGCCCAAAAATATTCTTATTACCACCAACATGGTTTCATCACAGAACATGGCCAATGAATCAAACCCATTGAAGAGAAAACACGAAGATGATGATAATGATACTATGTAAGGAATACAATCAAGATGTATTTCAAACGTGTAGTTGGTTTGGAGCCCATTATACTGAACTAGAATATTCTCTATCTTCTCAAGTTTTATCTTAGAAAACTTAAATGTAGCTGCAGTATTTTTCACATTAGTTTAAATTTTTTTCTTAAAACAGGTATCTTAGGTTAAGCATACCAATGTTTTTTCATTAGGCTTCAAGTAAAAAAGTATTTGTTTCTGAATATTTTGATTAATGTTGAATTCTACCATGAGAATTTTATATTTGGAAGTTTTCTGCCATGTATCACTGACAGCAGCACTTAAGTTTGAAGTTTCTACAGCCTCATCAGTGGACTAATCTTTAATAGCATAATTTCTAATCTACATTTAAATACTACTTTCTTTTATAAGGTAAAATAGTCACAATTTTTGTTTTCACCAACTTTTTTGACCAAATCTCTAGGAAGTATTTTTTGGAAAGGAGGGATTTAAAGGGATTCTAAATTTGGAGTGTATTTGTTTCTTGGTGATCCCTAACCTCCCATGTCCTCAACCCATTTCTAGATCGCATTCATTTTCTGTACCACCTCTTCCCCATAGGCTTAAATTTCTCCCAATACTCCTAATTAGAAGGCCAAAACTCGAGTTTAAAAACATTAATTCCTGATAATACAGTTCAGTGTCATTTTCCTGTTTTTAAAACCTGCTTTACATGCCTGGAAGTTTGCTTTGCTGTTTTTCTCTCCATACCAGAGCACTTGAGTTTTATCCATTGCCTTTCATGCTGAGCTTTTACTCTGCTTTTGACACGTGGTTTGGGGTCAGTTACGGTCTTATATTCCAAGTCGATAATGCCACCATATTTCACATTTCTAAATTTAACAGAGATGCTATAGTTTTAAGATCTGCCTTGATAAGTATATTTACACTGGACCTAGGCAAAAACCACTGAAGAGCAAGTGTTTTTTTTTTCCTTTCTACCACATACATATATGCTATGATCACTACTGCTTGAACCCTGCTGGATATCATATATGAGATGGGATCAGACCTGAAAATTCTCTAATGGTTTTCCTTCCTCTAGAAGGCCAACAACAAAAACAAGTTGGTGTAATGTGACCTGCACTTACGTGTACTGTGCGTAGGTTTCCCAGTAATGTTGCTAAACACCTGTCCCTATTTTCCATTTATACACGTTTAAACATCTTGGTGGGAAAGATTCAAAGCTTTCAAAAATATAAATAGGCTTGTTTTTAAGTAAGTTTGACATACTCAATATAGGAATTTTGCAGAATTTTCTAAAATAAATTTTCATGTCATAATTTAGAACTTATAGCCAAGGATCCTCAAAACTTGTAACACAAGAAAGTTTCATGTTAGGATGGTGCTTGATACATTGAAGAGAAAGAGTCCAGTGACAGAGACTTGTCTCATCACCATTTGAGTGTTTTTGAATATTAGGAAAAAGGTAGTATCAAACTTACAAAACCGGATCTGATCATCATAGGAGAAAAATGTTCATTATATAGCATAGGATATCATTACTTGAATGTTCTCAGGGAAGCAGCATGTCAAAAAGCCTAGGTTCTAGTCCTGGCTCCATCATTTACCAACTATGTGACCTTACTTCACCTCTGAGCCTAGTTCTCAGTAATAGGAAAATAATACCGACCCTGCCTACCTCACAGGGATGTTGTGAGGGTTTAATTAGCATATGTGAAAATTCCTTCGAAAACTGTAAAATGGTTTATAACTAAGAAATTGTTAATGTATTTGTTCCAAGATTATTAATAAAAAATTGAACTTACCATTTATCTTTCAATTTTGATTTAAGGGATTCAAGGAAGATGAACAAGACCCAGTAATTCTGAGGCCCAAAAAGCAATTAAGACTTAATGGGTGACTTAATTATAAATCAGGGAATTGCTTGCTTTTATTTGGAAATCAGCACGTTGACTCATAGTAAAGCAAAAATAAAAATGAATATGGGTTTAAATCTGTTAAACACATGCTGTCTTTGGTAGGAATTTGTACATATAACTGAGGCAACTTGCTAGGTCAGCCAGTTGCAGAACTCCCTTCCCTAATTATGTCTACCTAATATAGCTTCTAGAATGACTTAAGGCAGCTCTTGTCCTCCAGCTTCCAGGTGGAATTTTTTAAAAGAGGTACTCATGGTAAATGTGGTGGGGACCCTGTGGTCCCAAATTCTTCCTTTTACAAGTAGGAAACAAGTGTTTTTGATCTGAGTATGAATACAGGAATACAGCCAGTATGTGGGGAAAAGAGAAAACAATGCACACTGATCCTAAGGAGTCCAGAGTGAAGGGAAGTACTCAAGAGAGTTACAAAAGACAACACTAATCAGAACAGCAGGTACAAAGCAGTGTATAATATACTACCATATATATTTTAATTCGTATGTATACACACACATGAAAATATGCTTTTTATATGCATTAAGTAGCTCTAGACCGAAGGAAACCAGTCTTAGGGTGGCTGTTTCTAAAGAGGCAAACTGGTAGCTAGGAAACTGAGGTAGAAAGGTGTCTTCTCATTTTAGACCCCTTTTTGACATTTGTGTCATGTGCTAGAGGGAAGCTTTGGCTATAAAAAGGAAAACAAGGGAAGCAGGCAACACTGAGCTTAACAGACTGAATCAGTTTATGACACAAAGATTTTAATTTCTCTGTACAGGCATACACATCTATCATCTGGAGGTTAAAACTGAATTTGCTACACTTATGCCTAACTCTTTGCAATATTTTATCAGTAATTCATAATTCTGTATTAAATCAGGAAGCACATCCTTGTACTGTTCTAGTTTCTATGCTCACAAGTTGTTGTATTTTATCTTCAACTAGGTTGTAAATTCCTTCAGAACCTAATACTCTTAGATTTCCTCCACTACGTCCTAAGCATATCGCAGGTACTCAAATATTTGGCTATTTGTGTTTCCCCATTCATTTTCTGGATTAATGACCCAAATAAATGGGCAATGATCCTAGCAGCAGAGTCTAGTAGAAAGTACTTAAAAGGTACAATCAGAGATTGATGGATGGATGAATTGGCAGTTGTAGAGTCTAAGTGCTAGGTTTATGGGTGTTTATACAATTCTTCTAATCCCTCTGTACATAATAAAATAATTGGGGGAAAGGTAATCGCTAGGGGGAAAAAAGTCATCAGTACACTAGAGTTCTAGCCAGGCTGTAGCATTAATTTGCTGGATCTCTGGGTAGCACCTCTGGGCCTCCTCTACAAAAAGAATAGAATTCCTGCTTCTCATACCAGGGTACAGTGTACCATTAGAGGTATACAGAAACATGGTACATTTTAAAATTACAACTATGGGGACAGTATTAATTAAAACGCAAATGAATTTTTAAAAATTCAAGCCTTCAAAATAGGTTTAAAGCAACCATTAACTCTGGAAAGAATAGCAGAAAATCAAATAATCCTAGGCTAGAAGCAGCATTTGTGGGAGTGAAGCACAATTAAAAAGCAGCCTTTGGAATCAGACAAACCTGGACTTGAATCCCTGCTGTGGCCTAGTAGCTCTGTGATCCTCCAGGAGTTTTTATTTCTCTTCATAAAGGTGAAATATACATCTAAGTATGTAAAATGCCCAGCAGAGAAATTCTGATTAAACATGGCCTTTTCAAATCACATGCTTACCTCTGCTCACTCACAAAACTCCATTAAAATGGCAGGAAAGAGAAACGAAGGGAAAGGTACAAGGACAATAAATGAAATCAGAATGACATTAGAATCACTTCACAGGAGGTAAAAGGAATCCCCAATAGGGTTACCCCAAAGGGATTTCTACGGAAAGAAGAAATCCCAAAGCAACAGCTACACAGCAAACCTAGAAAGCAGCCAGGGCAAACTGGAGTGGTAGCACAGAGTACTCCAGAAGGGATTATTTCTAAAAATGAACACACTGGGAATGAATCGGGGACAAGTACATAGAAAAAAACAACTTTCAAACCTTACTAACTCCAAAGAAAATAAAGAGGTGCGTAATAGAATCATAGTGTACAACACAGCTCAGCTGTGACTAGTATTTATAATCACAACGTAGACTTACTGATCTAATCTCAAACTATACTGGGTGAATGAAGGGGAAGTATATGTGGAACAGAGGCTGTAAGAGAGCTCAATCTTCCCATGTATGAAATTAATATATAGCTTTTTATAAAAATCAAGAAATTAAAAGTATAAGCTATGTTACTTAGAAACATGGAGGTAAATACCCACAAAAGCTACGAGGTAAAAAGCAGTCATCTCTAGGCAATGGGTATCACAAATGGGAGGACTAGGCTGAAGCCTCTATTTTGTTGTTCTAACCCTTAACTTTTTAAACTATGGTCATGTTTAATAGAAATAAAATTTAATTTACCTAATCTCCCTGACCAATGCTGCCCCATTTCTTGCATTCAGAATGTAGCTGATTTGACCCCTTCCTCAAGATCTGTTCTCACCCTAACAAAGTATGACAGAAGAAACTCCCAGTTTCAATGGATACTTTTATTTAATAGATCACCAACTTTGCCTCCCTACCTATAATTGGAATTTCATCTTATTTCCATGCTGAGTAGTGAAACGATGACAAAGCTAATCAGAATAAGCTACATCAAAAAGAGAAGCTTAACACAGCTCATTTTCTTTTAACAGGCAAAATATAAATATATGCACTCTAGAATGCACAATGGTTTAGTCACTAAGAAATTCAAATGGGATCTCGAAGAATGTAGGCAAATCCAGGGTGCAGTAAAGAGGAGCAGAGATGCTGTGCAACTGTTTAAGGGTTCCTGGTGCTGCATCTCTTGGCCACTAGCTGAATCTTGACATGGGGGAAGATTTTAGCTAATGCCAAGTAGAGATGCGGCAAGTGCTAAGTTGACTTAGGGGCTGTGCACAGGAACCAAAAGGCAGGAAAGTACTAAACACTGCTGAGAGCATCCACCCCAGGAAGGACTTTACCTGTTTTTGAGAGAGCACACATACACAGACAGCATTACTATAAGACCCACTAAGCCAGCTATGCCTCCTATCTTCCCAGTAACATATCTGCTCTTCCTGAGGACATAAAGGACCAAGAGTTGGGTAACTTACATTTTGGGTCCCAGTTCTGCCCCTCCCCACCCAAAATGGATGCCAGGAGCATTATTTGAAGTTCCTCCATTTGTACTGCCCAGGTAATAATGAACACTAATGACAACACCACGTACTATCTCCACTCCATTCTACCCACCTGTCACTGCATAACCCCCAACCTTGCCCCCAAGAAGTCAAGTAAAAGGGAAGAATCTCACCTTCCAGGAGCTCTAAACTGGCACCACCCCCAGTGCTCACATGGCTGACTTTATCCTCTGTGTTCCATTTGGCACAGCAAGTGGCAGTGTCTCCACCACCTGTTGAATGAAAGCCAAGTTAAAAGGAAAGAAAATAAAGGATTGGCACCAAACTATAAGGCACCATGCTCTTAAGC